TTTTTTTTTTTTTTTTTTTTTTTTTTAAACATGGGGATGAATTGGTGTGTTTTTAACTTAAGAAACCTATTATTTTTTTTTTTATGTCTAACCCTTTTTACAATTGTAGTAAGTTACCAGGTGTGAAGTAGTAATTTATAAACAGACTGTAGTAGCTTGCTTGTACTGTGTTAGCCAAGTGGATGGAGGTATTTCTGTTTGTGCTTTTCTTCCTCTTCCCCCTCCTCTTTTTGTTTATAAGTTTATTTTCCTCTATCTCTTCAGTTTTTTTGTTTTGTTTTTTTTTTTCTCTCTCTCCCCGTTGTTGGGTCTGAGTTGAGGTCCTGATAACCACTGGTGGTTAAAGATGTCGAGATGTCGCATAGAATCAATTTAAATACCTTTCATGCTGTGAAGATTCCCGTACTCCGAGTTCCAGGCTCCCTGTTAAACAATCAGAGGTTTCGCTCGCTCCTTAGGAAAATGGAAAAATCTGCCCTTCCCCTCCTGAAGAAAGAGTAGTGTCGCTATGGAAGATAGCTCAAAGAAAACCCTGACCCCAAAACTCTTTGTTGTTTGTTTTTTTCTTAACTAAATTCCCACAGCATAATGTTTAAAATGGGTATCTCCGCATTTTAAATAAAAGTTATATATGAATCGGTGCTGATTTTATATATGTGCTTTTGTTTGTTTTGTTTTGTTTTTCTTTTTTTCCAATCTTAAGCCCGAAAGTTTGAGAAATGTATAAGTAAAACTTAAAAAAAAAAAGAAAAAAAAAAAGAAAGCATGTGCAGCCATGCGTCAAGGAAGATTTTTAAATTTGTATTTTTAAGTTCCTATATATTTTTTTTCTTTCTTCTTTGTCTTGATACCGTCTTTGAATTTCTACCTTTTTTCCTACGTGTAAATTAGTTTGGATATAACTAATGAAAAAGAACTTGTGAAATTGAGCTTTTAAGGTTTTTTCTCAACATTGAAAAGAGTCCTGTCACAAATGATGATGATGATGATAATAATAATGGTAATGGAGAAAAAAAAAAAGATGCTTCTAGATTTCAAATGTCTCAACCTGTAAGGCAGTCACTCAGACAGTACTGAACTCCGACGTTATTCAGCAGCGCTGTGGCAGCTAGACAAAAAGCTTAGATTTTGACATACGTTTGTCAACACGAGTTTCAATGAAATGTTTTGTCTACTGAGGTCGTTTATTTTGTAGTCATTCCATGCTTAAGCCTTAAAAAACATGCTCGTGGAGGTCACCTTCTCTCACAGTAATCTTCCATGTCCGAGGTGGATAAATTGGCTCTTAGAACATGAACTATGAGGTGGTCGGATGTAATGTGATAAAGTAGATAAACAGCCTATACGTGTTTTTGCCTAATTATTTTATGTAAGTAAAAAAACAAAACTCTTTTAAGGAAAGAAAAAAAAAAGTACTGTTTATTGTTTGTTACTTACCACTACATCGGTATAAATCCTTATTAGATCATGTGTACATATACAAAATTTAATTTCCTTGCTTTTTGGACATTTCTGTTTTATTCTCCTGCACTCTTGCCTACAGTCTTGAGTTATTTGTCTATTATCCCATCCTCGTTTCAGTCACTCTTGTTTTTTTTTTTTTTTTTTTTTTTTTTTTTTTTTCTGATTTGTACTTGTCTGGAGACAGTAACTTTTGAATAAAAATCAACACATTTCTTCTGTGGTACATCTTACTTTTTAAACTGTTCTCGTTCCGTTTTCCTAAGTGCTATCGGGTTGGAACCGGGCCTGTTAGTTAGCCAACAAATTCACTGACATGCAAGTGCATTCCAGTCAATTAGAATACTGTTAAAAATAATGACCACAATCCAACATCAACCTTATCATTCACTATTTTAAGTAACAAATATTTCTGTATTTGGTATTTAATTTGCTTGTAGGAGTGGCAGAGTTAAAGTACACCATCACTCAGTCGTGACTTATCCTACTGATTTAATCAATTCTAACAGAAAGCAGTGTGTTGACAATGACTCCAGTTGGTTAAAAACTTGTGGCTCTTATTTAAAAAGGCAGTTTTATTTCATCAGTGTGATATGGTTTGTTCCACATATCATATATAAAAACATCAAACTTTAATAATAAAAAAAAAAAAAGTTGGAGGAAGGAAAAAATGTGAGATGGTGCTGCCAAACTGAAGTATGGTGAGGTTTCCTCATAACGAGGTGTCGGGCCTATTTAAAACATGCTTATCAGTTTGAATACATCAAGATACTCGGTCTTTGTCACCTTATGCTCAAGAGGAAGTTCCTTTGAAACGGCTGTTTCAGCGAGACGGTCTTTCTGAAGACACCAGTAAGCAAACATCTCAAAAAAAACAAGACGAACTGAACTGTCATCCTATCATACTCCTGAGCTGAAATATCTGTTTACAGGTAACAGAAAGTGAAAGGTAGTTCCCAGAAACGGCTTTGCGCATTTTCAGATTTATGCTTTCATTAATTGTTCACATCAACTTATCTGTGCTGAGTTGTGGGGCCTGGCGTCTATTTCCAGTGCCCGCTGTATCCTTGAAAAGTCTTAAAAAGCATGAAATTCATGTCTCTGAAATTAAAGCCTTAAAATGTCTTGCATTAAAAAAAAATAGTTGACCTTAGATGTGTTAATCACGGGTCCTAAATTTTATTGTGGCAGGACTATTTAATCAAGTAGTTTTGTATACCTCGAGTTTGACTTTCCTGTCGGGCAACGGCTTGAGTCGCACGGGGACATCTTGACTTCGTTCTGTGACTAACGGCGGTTGAGGCTACTGCTAACTAGCTGCTAATTGGTTAGCCTTTGCGTCCATCGTGGGTAAGTGCAAATTTATCGCCGGTTGCCAGCGGCTCGCTTCTGTTGCCAAACAATAGAATGCTACACGAAAAAAAAAAAGCTTGGCACTATGGAGCCATAATGCCTCTTTAGTCTATAGAATGTAACATTTCCAATCCATTTAGAAATGTGTGTGGAAATCAAAGCTGCTTAAATTTAAAGTTTTAAACGCACTGCTAATATTTAGCTAGAATTTTTTGACCCAAATGAGATATTTCGACTGCTTATTTCTGGTAACTGAAACTACACGCCGTAACTGAAAATGAAAACTCAAATTAAAAAAAAATTGAAATGTTGCATAACACTAATAAAATGTTGTTTTTAAAGTTGAAATGGCTTAGATAATCAGGGGGAAGATTGCTAACCAGACAGGTGTCCAGTGCTGCCCGACCAACCAGGATACCCAATTGATATGCTCAGTTGCCAGTATAAAATAAAATGGCACTACAAGTTTAAAACAATGGATCTCTCCCTTTATTTTACACATTTTATTTACTAAATTAGTCATGTGAAAGATTTAATTGGATGCAAATCATGTTTTGGTGCACCTATCAGCAGGGGCGGATCTAGAAAAATATTTATGGGGTGGCAAGAGGGTGGCAGGGACTTTTTCAGGGGTGG